GGGAGGGCTGGCCCTGTGTGCCAGACAAGGAGGGAAGCCTGCTGGCCACACAGAAGAGCAGAAGTTTTCCTCCCCAGCACCCCGGAGCTGCTGAGCTGTGCTCTCCTGTGGAACGGTTGGCATGTTCAGCACGTCTGCTGGGAGAGGAGGCTGAGAGGCTCCCTGGTGCCATTAGGAGAGGTCTGGGCTGCCTCTCCTGCAGGGAGGAGAAGCCTGGGGTACTTGGGCTGGTCTGCTGCATTGGTGGGAGGAGGGCCCACCATCCTCCTCCTTGACAGACTGAGAGAGCTGGGGTTGTTCAGCGGGGAGAAGAGAAGGCTCCAAGGAGACCTTAGAGCCCCTTCCAATATCTGAAGGGAGCTACAGGAGAGCTGGGGAGGGACTCTTTGTCAGGGAGTGCAGTGACAGGACAAGGGGGAACGGTTTTAAATTGGAAGAGGGGAGATTTAAATTAGATCTTAGGAAGAAATTCTTTGCTGTGAGGGTGGTGAGGCACTGGAAGAGGTTGCCCAGAGAAGCTGTGGCTGCCCCATCCCTGGAGGGGTTCAAGGCCAGGCTGGATGGGGCCTTGAGCAACCTGGTCTGGTGGGAGGTGTCCCTGCCCAGGGCAGGGGGGTTGGGACTCAGTGATCTTTAACTTCCCTTCCAACTCTAACCATTCTATGAGCCCTCCTCTCCATTCCCTGAGCTGGGGCAGATCCAGGTAGCTGGGGAGAGAGCTTCTGCCCTCCCTGTCTTATCTCCTGCTCCCCATGAGGAAGCACTGGGATGAGTAGTGGTGTGTGCCTGAGCCAAAAGAGCCAGCAGCATGTCGGTTTTGGTACCACAGGACTGCAGGAGTGGCCTTTGCTACTGGAGATGGCCACGGCTTTGTCAGGGAGGGTGTCCCCAGGGTAGTCTTGAGCTGAATGCTCTTAGAGGTGGTTTAATGTGGTCTTTTGCCTTACAGGAAAGTCTGTGCCTGAAAATATTTGAAAAGACAGCAGAAGTTTAAAGCCCTCTGGATGTGGTGGAGAGGCTGATCTCAGCAGGCTTGGCTCCTGTTTGACAGGTGGAGGCTGTTCTCTGGTCCACTCTGTCCATTCTGTTTGCAACAGATTTGGGTGAAGTGTAATGCTGTGTGGCACCTTCTTCCTGTAGTTCATCCGGGCATCCTCTAAACAGCAATTTATGGTTGCAGCAGCCTGGAAGACTGGTAAATAAATGTACCTAATTGCTACGAATAAGGAATGCTGGCTAGGCTGGTGGTGGACACCACAGAAGTGCCCAGGTATGCTTACTTTGTACTTGTCTCAGGGCACGTGATTTCCACAGGTCTAAATGTACCCAAAAGGCTGACGTGGTAGTGTTTACCCTGGACAACCTTCATGCTAGAGAGGGCATTACCTTAGTAATGACTCTGAAATAATGGACCACACGTCTGTTCCTTGTAGCTCACCCTCCAGCCCATCGTCTCGTTGCTGCTTCTCTGGGGCTTTGTGCCTAACGTGAGGGGAAGAGGACCTCAGTTCGCCGTGTGAGTAGTGGAGGAGGGACAGGTTCTCAGGCTGAAAAGAGGCTGGGGAGGTAAAACCTTCCTGAGAAGGGTCAGTGTGTGCTGTGCCACGCTCCCTAAAGGCTCACAGGCCTTGGGTGTTTTCCCCACGGCTGACAAGTGCAGACTGCTTGGTATGAGTCCTTCGGCTGGTGGTGTGCCCACTTTGGTGTAACCAGAGGAAATGCTGCTCTGGGGACAGGGCACACCTCTTCAAAAGCATAGAGCTGCAAAGTGCAGTGAAGGAAGGAGCTTGTGCTTCTAAACGGTGGATAAAAGAGGGGTAGAAGGGACAAGAGAGATGAAAGAGATGTGAAAGACGGGGTAAACAGGTGGGAAAAGCTCTGCTTGCAGTGCGTGGGGACCTCTGTAGCTTGAGTGTATGTTTTGTGTTAATTGGGGGAAAAAAGTGGCAGGGAAACCTGGAACTGTTTAGGCCTTCCAGGGCATACATTCTTTCATCCATAAGTTACAGAAGACGACAACATAACTGGGAATAACTTCTCTGCGAAGTCTGCTCTTCTGGGCTTAGTCTGTAAGTGGACAGACCTATCTGCCTCTTTCTTCACCAGGATTCAATCTCACATTCTTCGCCACTCCCAACACTTACATTTTTTTTTCCTGATAATGGGACAAACCTTTTGGGCAGGCTGCCTGCTCCCTTCCGTTGTAATGTGTGTCTTGGCTTTCCTTGCTCATGCATATCGGAAATGCTTGAAGGCATTTGTGGTTTTGCAACCAAGGAGCAAATAAAACACCTCCGCAGACCTCTATCAATCTATTAACATGTTGTCAAGATCACTGTACCTTACGGGAGAAGAAACACCCGTTCTGCTTGTTGCCAGTTCGGGCAACAGTCATTAGATTGGGGTGGTTAAGGTGGAAGGTGACGACTGGAACTTCATCATCCTGATGAAGGATGCCTGCATGATTTGTGTATTACGTACGGAGCAAGGAGATGGTTTCAGAGGCTCTTTCCCCACAGCACAGCTGAAGCAGGGGGAGCTTTGCTGTCTTTTATTTTATGAGGAGATAAACAGCCCTCCTCATTTTCCAGCAACTCTTCACTTTGGGGTAAGAGGAAATGGCCTCAAGTTGCACCAGGGGAGGTTCAGGTTGGATATTAGGAAAAATGTTTACACTGAAAGGGCTATCAAGCCTTGGAATGGGCTGCCCAGGGAAGGGGTTGAGGCACCATCCCCGGAGGTGTTCAAAAGATGGGTTGACATGGTGCTGGGGAACATGGTTTAGTGATGTTTTTTTTGTCAGAGTTAGGTTGATGGTTGGTTAGGTTGAAGGTCCCTTCCAATCTAGATGATTCTATGATTCGAAGTGCTGTTCTTGCAAGCATCCCAGACCAAACAGTAAGCTAATTGTGTGAGGGGCTGGGTCTGTGTTGAAACTGTCTTCTAGAGACTTGCCTCAAGGAGAGGTCTGGCCGAAGCGGCCTCAGTCTTGAGCAGCTCTGCTCTCAGAGAGGTGAGAAGGCATCTGCCCTGGGATGCAGGCAGTCCCAATGCTCTTGCACCATGAGGACTTGCTGGGGGCTGGTTGCCACCTGGCTCGTGGAGCTTCTGAGGTTGTGAGGAGCCAGAAGAGCTGAATCTTGCAGTGGGCACTCCCAAGCACAATAGGGTCCTTGGGGCACACCAACTCATAGTACCTGCAAAATGCAGTGCTCCTCAGCCTGCTGTGAGTCTCCCTCTAAGCCCTGGCTGCTCTCGGCTGGTTTCACTGCCTGCTGACCCAGCTCTTTCTGTCTGAACTGAATGTGAACCTTCTGCCTCACCCAGCTCCTGCCTCTGGTTTCTTTGCTTATTGCAGACTGAGGGCCACAACTACCTGAGCCCTGCTCATGGTATGAGCGGGACCTCATGGAATTCAGTGCAGGTCAATGTGGGTGCATGGGTCAGAGCACTGCGCTGTCAAAGGCTGTAAAACACCCCTTCTGTCCTAAGGTGGCAAATTAAATAATTTTTTTCTTTTATAACATTCAGGAGCCTGGTCTTGAAGCAGGACGTTCCTGGTTTGTGTGTCACAGAATCACAGAATCCCATGGGGTGGGAAGGGGCCTCTGGAGATCATCTAGTCCAACCCCCTGCCAGAGCAGGGCCACCCAGAGCAGGTCCCACAGGAACGTGTCCAGGCGGGGTTTGAATGTCTCCAGAGAAGGAGACTCCACCACCTCCCTGGGCAGCCTCTGCCAGGGCTCTACCACCCTCACAGCAAAGAAGTTCCTCCTCATCTTTAGGTGGAACTTCTTACATTCAAGTTTGTGCCCATTTCCGCTTGTCCTGCAACTTCCCGGGGAAACCTGGAGGGCAAGTGTGGGCAAGCAGATGCTAGGAAACAGGATATTTTCCTAATATACTTGGATATTAGGAAAAATTTCTTCACCAAAAGGTTTATCAAATATTGGAACAGGCTGCCTAGGGAAGCGGTGGAATCGCCATCCCTGGAGGTATTTAAAAGATGGGTAGACATGGTGCTTAGGGACATGGGTTAGTGGTTGGACTTGATGATATTAAAGGTCCCTTCCAACCTAGAGGATTCTATGATTCTAATACAGCCTTTTCTGCCCATGTTTTTTGGTGACTAGAAGGTTTCATTTCTTTGGTGCGCTTTGCCCTTCTCCATTAGGTTTGTCTTGGCCAAAGCATTTCATTAGCACACTGAATGCAGTTACAGTGTGATGGGACAAGAAATATGTGTCAGTGTTTCTGTGGGTGAAAGCATTGCCTCTCATCGTTGCAGGATTATTGAAGCATCTCCTACTTCCCCCATGAACAACCCAGAGATGTCTTTACCTTTTCCCATTTCTTTCTTATATAAATAAATGAAAATAGCATTTCTTCACGCCCTTGAGATGGTAGGTGGGTACCTGGGGCAAGCAGAGCATCATACTGTACTCAGCACTGGTAAGTACACCTGGAGTGTTGTGTCCAGTTTTGGGCACCTCAATCCAAGAGAGATCTGGAGGTGCTGGAGCGGGTGCAGAGGAGGGCAACGAAACTAGTGAAGGGCCTGGAGAAGAAATCTTATGAAGAGCGATTGAAGGAGCTGGGACTGTTTAGTTTGAGGAAGAGGAGGCTGAGAGGGGACCTCATCACTCTCTAGAGCTACTTGAAAGGCCCTTGTAGAGAGGTTGGTGCTGGTCTCTTCTCCCAGGTAATTAGTGACAGAACAAGAGGGAATGGCTTCAAGCTGCAACAGGGTAGGTTTAGAGTGGCCATTAGGAAACAATTCTTCACAGCAAGAGTGGTCAGAGACTGGAATAGGCTGCCCAGGGAGGGGGTTGAGTCACCATCCCTGGATGTGTTTAAGAGCTGTTTAGATGTGGTGTTGGGGGAGATGGTGTAGGGGAGAGCTTTGTAGAGTGGGGTTAAGGGTTGGACTGGATGATCCCAAGGGTCTCTTCCAACTTGAATGATGCTGTGATTCTATACCCTGCTGACAGAGGGGATCGCTTCTTTTCCTGTTCCCCACTATTTTGTTAGGTAAAGTCTCTGGCACGCCAGTCTCTTTCATTGCGCACACGGGCTGGGAACCTTGAGATAAACCTGAAAACGTTCTGCTTTGTGGTGTTGGCATTTGTGGTTTGTGGGTGGCAGGTTATGGAATGTGCTGGTTTGTGTCCGCTGAGTTACAGTGATTAGGTATCAAGTGACTGTGGTTATTTTTGCTTTTTATAAGGAACAGAGAGCTATAGTGGGCGCCCCCAGAAGACAAATTGTGTTTAGCCCCCTTTGATCGTTGCTGACTGGCAGCAATTCTTCATGACTTGCCGTTATGTTCTGAACAGCAGCATCCTCCTCCCAGTGCTTCTGGCTTTGTACCTGTTCTCTGAAATGGCTCCGTGTCCCAGCGCTGTGAAATGCAGGAGGAGTGTTGCTCTGGGGTATATTATGCAGCTCGTGTATGTGCTCTTGAAATGCAACTGTGTGCTCTCATCTTAAAAAAGACCTATGATTCTTGACTTAGCAATTTCGTCCTTCCTGACATTCATGTTCTCTGGCGAAAGCAACTTCAAGAAGAGCCCGTAACTTTGCTTGGCAGATGAAATTAAGATGCCAACATTTAATGAACCTTGAACAAGCAGCAGTGTGTGTTTGGTGAGCTGCTGGCTGTGATTGAAGTGTGTACATTAGAGGAAAGGGAGCTTAATTGATTGAGGGGCAGTGATGGGGCAATGGTAATAAAAGCAGAGCAAACAGCTGTCAGTCTGAATAGATTTAGACTTAAAAATGGGAATGGGGGAGGGTAAGCCTGCGTTGAGAAAAATTCTCAAGATGCACCCCCAGCGGTGTTCCTGTGAGACCCTTTGCAGTTCTGCACCTTGGCCCCTGGCAGCAGGAGTGCACCTCAGGGGGGTTTTTGCAAGTGCTGGTGTGACACCATGAGTTGGGAAAGACTGGAAAACCGGAGCCTGTGCTTTTGGTAAGCTGAAAACACGTTTTTATTAGCATTGTGAATCCATTGCACCACCAGGGCTTTCTGTCGCTGAAAGCCTTCCTGTACAAGCCTTAAAAATGGCAGACGAGCAGGTGTGTGCAATTCATAGCTACCTCCTGGGTGCAGCGTGTTTATTTGGGAAAACATGGCCCAGCAGAGGTGGCTGGAGTTGTCACCAGGTGGAGTTGACTGCTCAGATTTGGCAGCACTGGTCACGGTGGCAATCTGGAACATACCTGTGGAGAGGAATGCTAGCTTTATGTCATCCCTGTGGAGCAATTAGCTGTCAAATAAATTGTTGCTACATTTCCCAGGGAGGATTGAGGTTCTTTTTCCTTTGCTCTCGGCATTTTATTTTGGCTAAACTGTTGTGGTGCTTCAGGGGAGGCTGTCATTTGGATTCCTTCTTCTCTCGTTCCTGACTGCTGTTAGAGGCGCTGGTCCTAGCGTGCATGGAGGCTTGAAGACATGAACATTCAGGCCATCCCTGAAGAAGACCCAAAATGCTTGCTGAACACCAGTGCAAAGCTAGGCGGGTTTGGACATTGCTTGGGGTTTCTCCTTTGGAAGGAAGTGAGGTTACGTGTAATTTTGTTCCTGGCACCTGAATAAACCACAGCAGAGAGCAAATGAGAAATGTACAGGAGCTGAGTCCTGGTTTTAAACCATCCTCTGCCCACATGGAGGTGGCTCCTGTGTGGGCTGGCAGGGGCCAGCAATGCTGCTGGCCATAGCCCCCCTGCTCCTACGGGATCACGGGATTGTCAGAGTTGGAAGGAACCTCTGGAGATCATCCAGTCCAACTCCCTGCCAAAGCAGGACCACCCAGAGCACATCACTCAGGAGCATCCAGGTGGGGCTTGAAGATCTCCAGAGAAGGGGACTCCACCACCTCCCTGGGCAGCCTCTGCCAGGGCTCTGCCACCCTCACAGCAAAGAAGTTCCTCCTCATCTTTAGCTGGAACTTCTTACATTCAAGTTTGTGCCCATTTCCTCTTGTCCTGTCCCTGGGCACCACTGAAAAAAGACCAGCCCCATCCTCCTGACACCCTCCCTTGAAGTATTTATGAGCCTTGATCAGATCCCCCCTCAGCCTTCTCTTCTCCAGACTCAAAAGACCCAAGTCCCTCAGCCTCTCCTCATAAGGGAGATGCTCCAGGCCCCTCATCCTCTTTGTAGCCCTTTGCTGTCCCCTCTCCAGCAGTTCCCTGTCTTTCTGGAACTGGGGAGCCCAGAACTGGTCCCAGTGCTCCAGATGGGGCCTCCCCAGGGCAGACAGAGGGGCAGGATGACCTCCCTCTACCTGCTGGTCCCACTCTTCCTGATGCCCCCCAGGATGCCCTTGGCCTTCTTGGCCACCAGGGCCCATTGCTGGCTCATGGGCATCCTGTTGTCCACCAGGACTCCCAGGTCTTTCTCCTCAGAGGCGTTGTCCTTCCTGGGTGTGAACCCATCTGGCTGTGAGGAGAGGGGTGCAGGGGGTTATGTTCTCTAGGAGTTTCTTTCCTAGGGGCTGAAATGAAGGTGTCTGAGCTATGGACCTGGCTTCCTGTCAGGATGCTGTGCTCTGCCCTTGTCATTCGTCTCACACGCCGTGGTTTTGGATGTGGCTCTCTGTGAGCGGTCAGCAGAAGGAGACTCCGTGTGGCACGGGGAGGATTGAATCCAGGGCTATTTTCCGAGGCAGTTGGGTCGGTGGCCGTGTGGGACTGACTTTGATAAGGCTGGGCACGGGTCCTGCCCCCACCCCGTGGCAGAGCTCAGCACACCCTCATCGTTATCTGGGCACCATTGTTGCCTTTCCCTACCTCATCCTGGGCCTGTGTGTTCCCTTGCTGCTCTGCTGGGGGGGGAGAGTCCCCTGCCACCTCCCTCTCTTCGTGACAGACAATGCTGAAGTAGCTTGTGGAGGCTCCTGTTCCTTGGCTGGAAGGCAGAGCAGCTGTGGCAACGCCTTAATGAAGACAAGTGTTACAGCTAGTATTTGCTTTTACTGCGTAAATGAATCCTTTGTACCTTTCCAGAGGGGAGGGGTAAACAATAAGATCTGCTGTCCCTTGACCTGAAGGAATCTTGTTACCTTGTCTTAGTCCAGCCACCACCAGGGAAAAGAGGAGAGCTGAGCACTGTGTTAGCATCAGTTACAGAGGGGACACGGGCTGTAACAGGAGGTGCCATCGCCTGCCTGCTCCCCTGCAGCCAAGGCAGGGGCAGGGAACTCGACTGTGGTGTGTCTCCATGTGTGGGGTGCCAGCGCTTCACGGGATCAGGGAATTGTCACAGTTGGAAGGGACCTCTAGAGACCATCCAGTCCCACTCCCCTGCCAAAGCAGGGCTGCCCAGAGCACATCACTCAGGAACATCCAGGTGGGGCTTGAAGATCTCCAGAGAAGGGGACTCCACACCCTCCCTGGGCAGCCTCTGCCAGGGCTCTGCCACCCTCACCCCAAACAAGTTCTTCCTCAGATTGGAGTGGAACTTCCCATGGTCCAGCTTGTGCCCATTGCCCCTCGTCCTGTCACTGGGAACCATTGAAAAGAGTCTGGCTCCATCCTCCTTCAACCCACCCTTTAGATCCTTGTCAGCATTGATAAGGTCTCCCCTCAGCCTTCTCTTCTCCAGGCTGAAGAGTCCCAGCTCTCTCAGCCTTTCCTCATCAGGGAGATGCTCCAATCCCTCCATCATCTCTGTTGCCCTACGCTGGACTCTCTCCAGCAGTCCCCTGTCTCTCTTGAACTGGGGAGCCCAGAACTGGACGCAGGATTCCAGTTGTGGCCTCCCCAGTGCAGAGCAGAGGGGGAGAATGACCTCCCTTGGACATTGCAGCCCTGCAGCAGGTGAGGTGGCTTCCTCCTGGAGGTGGTCCTTGCCATCACCAGTATGGGTATCCCAGTGCAACGGGCAGCACTGGGCTAAGGGAGCATGTTGGTGGGCAACGTTTCACAGAACAGTGGTGGCAACTGCCACAGCAGGGGCTGTGTGGGGAACAGGGCTGTGAAACCCTTTGTGTTTGTAGGAACAGAGATGAGATGGGTAGGGGAGTCTAGTCCACCATCACTGATAACTTCTTCTGATCTGTTACAACACGCTAAGAGGTCTGTGTACGTGCTGGAGCCAACTGCCCTTTTAAATTGACGTGCTTAATACTTACATCATCTCGTGCTCCCTGTCTGCTCCCAAGTCAGGGAGGAGACCTTATCTGGTTGCTTTTAGGGTCTTTTAGGGTTTACAGTTCAGCCACGCTTGAGGCTGACTCCCTACAGACAGCACCAAATTACGGCCTCGGGGTTTTGTGCGAGTGTGGTGTGGCTCAGGGCACCGTAAGGGTGTTGTTTTGTGCTCCTGCCAGGTGATGTGCAGGGAGGAGAGGACAGCCGACCTGTAGGGGCAAGCGTGGGGCTGCCATGGAGGGTGTGGGGAGCCTCATCTCAACTCCTTCAGCCTCATCAGTGGTTGGGGCCCTGAGCAGCATCCAGCCAGCGTGTCCTTTGGTACCTGGGGATGTCTTGTGGGAGCGGTGACCTGGGGGCTGGCTGTGACATGGGCGATGGTGTCTTCTGGGGGTCCTCACAGCAGGGAGAGGACATGGCAGCAGTCCCAAGAGACCATGGGTCTTCCTGTGCTGCCGATGTAGGAAGGCCATAAGAGCTGAGGGATGGATGACCACATGGGAGCTTTCTTCTCAGCTGAGAGAAGACAGGCTGAGAGAGCTGGGGGTGTTCAGCCTGGAGAAGACAAGGCTCCGGGGAGACCTTAGAGCCCCTTTCAATATCTGAAGGGAGCTACAGGAGAGCTGGGGAGGGACTCTTTGTCAGGAAGTGCAGTGACAGGACAAGGGGGAACGGGTTTAAATTGGAAGAGGGGAGATTTAGATGAGATACCAGAAAGAAATTTGCGGTGAGGGTGGTGAGACACTGGAACAGGTTGCCCAGAGAAGCTGTGGCTGCCCCATCCCTGGAGGGGTTCAAGGCCAGGCTGGATGGGGCTTGGAGCAACCTGGTGTGGTGGGAGGTGTCCCTGCCCAGGGCAGGGGGGTTGGAACTCGATGATCTTTAAGGTCCCTTCCAACCCAAACCATTCTATGATTCTCCGGAGCAAAGGGAAAGAGTCATTGCTTTAAGGACCTGGATGAGGTAACTGAGCTGCCAGTACAAGAAGGCTCTAATTATAGAATCATAGAATTGCCCAGGCCGGAAGGGACCTCCAAAGGCCATCTAGTCCGACCCCCCCGCAGTCAGCAGGGACACCCCCAACCAGACCAGGTTGCCCAGGGCCTCATTGAGCCTCACCTTGAATATCTCCAGGGATGGGGCCTCAACCACCTCCCTGGGCAACCTGTTCCAGTTCTCCACCACCCTCACAGGAAAGTAATGAGAGTAATTAAAGTAATTTCAGTAATGAAAGACCATTGCATCTGAGCTGCCCTTGCTGTCCCTTGGGGGGCTCAGTGACCCCAGGGAATGCCTGCCCTGCAGCAGCCTGTAGGAGGGAGGAGGAGGAGGCAGAGCATGGGGGGGCTCTGAAAACACATCAGGCGCTGGAGCTGTGAGCCTCGCAGGGTCTCTGCTCTGTGTCTCCTGGTTGTGCTGGTGCCTGGAGGAACCTTTATGAAGGAGGGCAGAGCACGAGGAAATATTTGCTCCGTTGTCAAAGGACTCACAGGGACACGTAGGACTTTCTGTGTCCGCAGCACAGCGTTCCTTATCCTCACTGGAGCAGCCCCGGATGCTCGCTCCGCATGATCTTGCCTGGAGGACAAATGCTTCCTCAGGAGGTGCAGAACTCACCATCCTTCTGCCCTGTGCGGGGTTTCGGGGTGACTTGCAGTTTTTAGCTGATTGCTGCAGCCAGGATGGGAGCTGGCCGGGTGCTCTGTGGGGACTGAGGAGGCAGCACGTGCATCCTTCTCCCTTTTTTGCTGCAGGCTTTGCTGGGGCAGCGTGTGTGGAATCCCTAACGATCCCGGGAAGGAGGCTGCCTTGCCTGCTGCCGGTGGGGAGTTGCAGGGAATTACGGCTGCGGGTCTTGCGGTGTCACCTTGTGCAAAACGCTGGAGAAAAAAAATGCTTTGGAAACCACTCAGATTCTGTAGATGGATGTAGATTTGAAAAGTCTCCCCCTCCGTGACTCCAGGCTCTTGGTGTGCCTTGGTTTTTATGCAGGGTGCGGATGGTGTTGCCTGTGAGCAGCAGCTTAACCCCTTACGCCAGTCATGACAGTATGAAAGGTTTGCAGCACCATTAGGAGCTTGATCTCAGGATGCTTTGGTACCCTGCTGTGTGGGTTCCTCTTTCACAAGAAGGGGACACAAGGCAGGTAAGCACCTCCGCCCTCTTTCTTCTGTTTTTACTCTGTTCTTTGTTTCCAGCAGGTATGGATGGGAAGAAGTGCAGCGTCTGGATGTTCTTACCTCTTGTGTTTACCCTGTTTACATCAGCTGGATTATGGATAGTGTAAGTTACCTCCTGCTGGTTGTTTGGGAGAGCAGCTTAGGCTGAGGCAGTCAGAAGTACCAAGGTGGTGTGGGCTGCCCCTCAGTACAAAGTGTTTTTGGGGATGCTCTGTCCTTGAGTTACTGTGAGGCTGGGAAGGCACATGGTAGGGTCAGGGTCCAGTCCATGCTAGTTCAGGGCTTGGAGGATGACATTTTTGTCCCTGAGCTTTTGTGCTCCTCAGGCCAAGTTTATCACCTTGCATTCTTCGTGGCACATGTTACTGGGAGCTGCCTGAAAAGAGACAGACAAAAAATGCAAAAATTCCCTTCCATCGTGTTTTCTTTGAATGACTCAGCAGAGCTCTTGGAGAAGCACCGATGCCCTGCTTTGGGGTGCAACCTCAAAATCTGCAGCATCCATCCCTGTGCTGGCAGCCTGCCAGCGCCTTCATGCTGACAGCTTGCTTTCTCACTAACTTCTTACCAAAACGCACAGGAGAGATGCATTTCCCTGAGCTGGGCTGTCTCCAAGCGTGTAGGCAGATGCCTGCAGCATGAATTTGGGAGCGATAAATCCAATCAGCCACTACGTTCAGCCTGAGCCCAGCATATATCCTCCTTGTGTTGTAGGATTTGTCTTTGGCTGTGGTCTCTGGATGTCATTTTTCAACAGCAGAGACAACTTAAGCCTGTTTCCTGTCCCCTGTTGCTCTTCTTGCCCCATCCCCTCTGTTTGTATTAAAACAACTTCTGTGATGGGGGGACCATGGTAAACCAGATCGCACAGAATCACAGAATGGTATGGGGTTGGAAGGGACCTCTGGAGATCATCCAGTCCAACCCCCTGCCAAAGCAGGTTCACCCAGAGCAGGTCCCACAGGAACGTGTCCTGGTGGGTTTGAATGTCTCCAGAGAAGGAGACTCCACCACCTCCCTGGGCAGCCTATTCCGCCACCCTCAAAGCAAGGAAGTTCCTCCTCATCTTTAGGTGGAACTTCTTATACTCAAGTTTGTGCCCATTTCCTCTTGTCCTGTCCCTGGGCACCACTGAAAAAAGACCAGCCCCATCCTCCTGACACCCACCCTTGAAGTATTTATGAGCCTTGATCAGATCCCCCCTCAGCCTTCTCTTCTCCAGACTCAAAAGACCCAAGTCCCTCAGCCTCTCCTCCTAAGGGAGATGCTCCAGGCCCCTCATCATCTTTGTAGCCCTCTGCTGTCCCCTCTCCAGCAGTTCCCTGTCCTTCTGGAACTGGGGAGCCCAGAACTGGTCCCAGTGCTCCAGATGGGGCCTCCCCAGGGCAGACAGAGGGGCAGGATGACCTCCCTCCACCTGCTGGTCCCACTCTTCCTGATGCCCCCCAGGATGCCATTGGCCTTCTTGGCCACCAGGGCCCATTGCTGGCTCATGGGCATCCTGTTGTCCCCCAGGACTCCCAGGTCTTTCTCCTCAGAGCTGCTCTCCAGCAGGTCACCCCCAACCTGTCCTGGTGCAGGGGGTTATTCCTCCCCAGGTGCAGCACCCTACACTTGCCCTTGTTGAAGTTCATCAGGTTCCTCTCTGCCCAACTCTCCAGCCTGTCCAGGTCTCGCTGGATGGTGGCACAGCCTTCTGGTGTGTCAACCACCCCTCCATGTTTTGTGTTATCAGCAAACTTGCTGAAGGTACATTCCATCCCTTCACCCAGGTCATTGATGAATATATTGAAGAGGACCCAGTACTGACCCCTGGGGGACTCCACCCCAGCTAGACTCTGTGCCCCTAATCACAACAGTCTGAGCTCTCTTTCAGCCAGTTTTCAATCCCCCTCACTGTCCATTCGTCTCATCCACACTTCCTAAGCTGACCTATGAGGTTGCTGTGTCAAATGATGAAGGAATGAAATGATTCAGGTTAAACATTAAACCATTCCCCCGGTGGGTTGTTTTTAAGGCAGCTCAGTTCAGTGACCCCTCGTGTCGACCCGACCACGCGAAAGAGATGCAGCATCAGGGCAGGTACATCCATAGGGACACCGGGGTGTGAGGAAAACTGCCCCTGGAACAGGGAGGAACACAGGCTGCCTCCAGCAGATCCTGCTGGTGGGCTTGGAGATGCTTAATGTGTTGTTGGAGTGATGTTTGCAATTGAAGCCAGGATGAGGTTTTACACGCTGTTTTAATCTTCTTCTTTTTCTTTTTTTTTTTTGGGTAGGTACTTTATAGCTGTGGAAGATAACAAAATTCTCCCTTTAAATATACCAGATAGGTAAGAGCTGATTGTGGACTTTACATTCCGTTACTCGTTTCTTTGAAATAATAAAACAATGAAAGCTAAATGGGAAAGAAAATCTTGAATCTTTGTTCCTGTGCGTTCATGTCTCTTAGGAAACCTGGTTCCAAAAGACCACCTTATATAAGGTAAGCATATGTCGTTCTTCTTCCAACTTACTGTTTTAATTAATGGTTGTTATTTGTGTGTCTCTGCCATCCTATGGAGTTACAATACGCTTTGTGTTTTCCAAGTATTGCAGGTGACACACCTCCTGCGAGCTGCGTGTTTAGCCAAGTCATGAACATGGCGGCATTTTTAGGTAGGAACCACAAGGGGAACGTTTCTTTCTCTCTCATAATTTGTTTTAAGAAGTCACTGAAACATAAGTAATACCCCATACGTATTGTTCTTGAACCCGATGATGTAAAATCATTTAAACCGTGGTTACTGCCCATTAGGACAGTATTATTTTGTCTTCATTTGTAGAAAGAAAGAATGAAGCTGGATGCATTTGAACTTCATTGATTTCTGATTTGTTCTCGTGTTTTTAATTGTCTCATCTTAGCCTTGAATTTGTTTTTCATTGTATGGTGGGTTTTTGTTATATGTTGTGAATGTGAGATAATTGCATGTGAATATTGGCAAATGCAGCAACTGAATATGCAAAATATCATCCCTGCCAAAGTACCCCCTAGCCTACTCATCCCTAAATTCCCTTACTAAATCTGTGGAAGTTTACTGGGATTTTCCAGCAGTGGAGGTAAGAGGGAAATACCACAGAGGAGAAGTATCTGAAAAGTACTTGAAAAAACGTGTCTGTGTTTGGTTCTTAAAACTGTTTGTTACCTTCACCTGTATATCTATTTTGAAGAAATTATCCCAAACTTGGTATGCATTGGTTCTCACTTATGAAGCAGGAGATAATAGCATGTTCTACTAATGACACGCTGTGTCTTCTGTTTCCTTCTCAGCGCTCGTCATGGCTGTCCTGCGCTTCATTCAGCTGAAGCCAAAGGTGCTGAACCCTTGGCTGAACGTCAGCGGGCTGGTGGCATTGTGCTTGGCCTCTTTTGGGATGACCCTACTGGGCAACTTCCAGGTACTGCACCCTGGGCTTGGACTGCTGTGTCCCTGCTGCCAGGTCCCTGCTCTTAGAGTCATAGAATCATAGAGGTTGGAAGAGACCCTTGGGATCATCGAGTCCAACCATCTCCCCTACTCTACAAAGTCCTCCCCTACACCATGTCCCTCAGCACTGCATCTAAACGGCCCTTAAACACAGCCAGGGATGGGGACTCCACCCCCTCCCTGGGCAGCCTGTTCCAATGCCCGACCACTCTTTGGGTGAAAAATTCCTTCCTAATGTTCAATCTAAACCTCCCCTGTTGGAGCTTGAAGCCGTTCCCTCTCGTTCTGTCACTAATTACCTGTGAGAAGAGACCAGCACCAACCTCTCTACAGTGTCCTTTCACGAAGTTGTAGAGAGTGATGAGGTCTCCCCTCAGCCTCCTCTTCCTCACACTAAACAGCCCCAGCTCCTTCAGCCGCTCTTCATATGATTTGTCTTCCAGGCCCTTCACTAGTTTCATTGCCCTCCTCTGCACTCGCTCCAGCACCTCCAGATCTCTCTTGGATTGAGGTGCCCAAAACTGGACACAATACTCGAGGTGTGGCCTCACCAGTGCTGAGTACAGGGGCACAATCACCTCCCTACTTCTGCTGGTCACACTATTTTTGATACAAGCCAGGATGCCATTGGCTTTCTTGCCCCCCTGGGCACACGGCCGGCTCATATTCAGCCACTTGTCAATGAGAACCCCCAGGTCTCTTTCCTCCAGGCAGCTCCAGCCACACTTCCCCCAGCCTGTAGCGCTCTTCTAGCACATCTGCTTAGGTCTTTGAACTACCTGTGGTGGGAGCCCAGAAGATAATGTGTCTGGCTGTGCCCCTGTCCCAGCAGGTACAGCCTCCTCTCTGTACCACGTACGTGGCTCCAGTGGCACGCTGAGATGAAGGGACAGGGTCATTTTCGGGTCTTCCCAGCAGGATTTGCACCTGTGTGCTTACGCTTGAACTGCCACGAGCCAGAGCGGGGAACCGACTGAATCCTTGAGCCCTGGGGGTTGGCACAGAAGGTCCTGGGTAGAAGGTTTGAGCTGGAATCACAGAATCACAGAATCTTCTAGGTTGGAAGGGACCTTAAAGATCATCTTGTCCAACTGTCAACCTAACTGACAAAAATAGACACCCGCACAACAAACAAGGAGCATCATCACTAAACCAGACCTCCCAGCACTACATCAACCCGTCTTTTGAACACCTCCAGGGATGGTGCCTCAACCACCTCCCTGGGCAGCCCATTCCAATGCCTGAGAACCCTTTCAGGGAAAAAATTTTTCCTAATATCCAGCCTGAACCTCCCCTGGGGCAACTTGAGGCCATTTCCTCTTGTCCTGTCGCCTGTGACTTGAGAGAAGAGACCGACCCCCACCTCTCTACACCCTCCTTTCAGGGAGTTGTAGAGAGCAATAAGGTCTCCCCTCAGCCTCCTCTTCTCCAGGCTGAATAACCCCAGCTCCCTCAGCCTCTCCTCATAAGACTTATTCTCCAGACCCCTCACCAGCTTTGTCGCCCTTCTCTGGACCCGCTCCAGCACCTCAATGTCTTTTTTATGGTAGGGGGCCCAAAACTGGACACAGCACTCAAGGTGAGGCCTCACCAGTGCCGAGTAGTTTCCATACGCATCCGTGTGAACAGATGCACAGATTTAGCAGAGAGTTGAGTGTCCTTCATTTAAAACACATGTTATTTAAATCTACCTCGTGCTTTGTCCTCAGGCTGGCCAGGAGAGGGACACAGCAGAGGAGTGCTATGACCTCTGGTGTGACAGCTACCTGGGTGAGGTCCCTCCAATTCTGGATGTGTCCTGCAGCACTATACAAACAAAGGAGGAAGCTGTCAGTGCCACAGCGTTGCTCTGCAGGGTTGGTCGGGTGCCCACTGTGGGCATGAGTGTGTCTGTCAGCTCTGCGGTGAAAATCAAGGCAGTAGAGTCAGTAGCACTCGGGTGTCCCCGTCCCTTTCATAGAATCATAGAATCATTCAGGTTGGAAGAGACCCTTGGGATCATCGAGTCCAACCATCTCCCCTACTCTACAAAGTCCTCCCCTACACCATGTCCCTCAGCACTGCATCTAAACGTCCCTTAAACACAGCCAGGGATGGTGACTCAACCCCCTCCCTTTGCTGTCTTCAAAGCTCTGCCTCTCACTGGGGTGCAAGTAGGGACCCCCAATAATGGCAGGAACTGAGATGGGTCGGTGCAGGCTGGCTTCTTTCCTGGCTTTGCAGGCAGGAGATATTTTTCCTGCCAATACAGGAAAAGTACTTGTTTTGTGAAGGGTCAGTAACTGTTCAGGTTGTGGAGCAGTTGCAGGAACTTTATGTCCTTTACGGTTGTCTGGTTTTTTTTTTTGTTCTTTTGGTTGTGTGGTTTGGTTTGCTTTGTTTTTTTTTAATGAAGTGTGAGATAATTTAATTGTTTTGGACCTGGTCTTCCGAATTCCACAACATGAGCCGAAACCTTGGTCTTGTTTTTTCATGAGAGCTTCCCAGCCAAGAACTATGAAGCTTTTGTAATGGCCTTGTCTGAGTGTGAGAAGAGTATTTCTGTTACAGGGTGGGCACTAGGAAGCAGTTTCAACCCCTGCCTCTTTTTTTAGCTCCTCAGAGCAAATGATTCTTATTTAAAAGTGGATACTTTTGAATTCTGAACTAATTATCCGCTCCTTGTTAGTTACCTGTATCCTTGCTTGATCTTTTGCCAAACCATGAAAGCAGGGGGTGATGAGACCTTAGTTCCCGCTTTTCCCTGTCTGACTGCTGAACTGAATGTGGCATTAAATCCTATTTATGGAAAAGTACAGATTGGGTGCCTTTAGGGGGACGTTATGTCTGTGAGTCCCTTGCAGTGCAGGCTGCCTTGGGAAAGGCAGACGAATCACAGTTTTTCCTGTACAATGATTTGGACCCTACTCTTGGGGAAAAAAAGAATAAAAATCAGCGTAGGGAGGAGAGGGGAGAGATGAGTGGAAGCAGAGTAAGCAGACTGCTGTCTTGTAGATTGCATCTTGTCGGATGAGACTTTATTAAATCACCAAACGGGAGCCAAGGCTGCAGGGAGGAATCACAGACTGCTGATTTCTTTTCTAGAGAAGCCTCAGAGGCAGAGGGAAAAGGGAAATTGTTTGGCTTCAGTCTAGTCCGTCCTGGGCTTTCTGAAGGAGTTTGCAGGCTCGAGGGATCTCTCTTGCTCATTGAACCTGGCTGTCCTTTTGCCTTGCAGTACTGCACAGTCACCGAGTCCCGTGAGACGAGGAACAGGGGAGCCCTTGCACTCTGGAGAGGCTGGGCTCATAGGCCCTCAGACCCCAGTGGTCGAGGACAGGCAGGAGAAAGGAACAAGGAGTCAAGCTTTTTGGTGGGAGAAGCTTCCCAAGCCAGGACCATGTGTTTTGGCTCATGCTAGTTCAACTGAGGTGTCAGGGCTCTGGATACCCTCTGCCCAACGCAGCTCTGCTCCGTGGCAGGGAGCTGTACGAGACCCCAGCGGGTTGTCCTTATAGAATCATAGAATTGCCCAGGCCAGAAGGGACCTCCAAAGGCCATCTAGTCCGACCCCCCCGCAGTCAGCAGGGACACCCCCAACTAGACCAGGTTCCTCAGGGCCTCATTGAGCCTCACCTTGAATATCTCCAGGGATGGGGCCTCAACCACCTCCCTGGGCAACCTGTTCCAGTGCTCCACCACCCTCACAGTGAAGAACCCTCTCCTTGCCCACCCTGCCCGTCACGTTGAGCCAGGGAAGGATTGATTTCGGAGCTCTGCCTCGGTGAGCCGTGTCAGGAAGCTGGAGAGGCAGTCCCCAAGCAACTGCATTTCCCACTGGGCTTGGGTATTGGGCAGAAGGTCTCTTTGCTGTGACAGCTGTCAGCTCATCTTGGTGATGTACACCTTGCACCTCTTGCAGAAGAAATAACACAGCATCTCTGTGATTCCCACTCTCCTCTGCTGCACCCCAGCCGCAGTCCCAGGCAGCTAATTCCTGTTGTGTCCAAACCAATCACTGTTTTGTTTGTTGCCAGCTTTCCAACGATGAGGAGATCCACAACGTGGGCACGTCGCTGACCTTTGGCTTTGGGACTTTGGCCTGCTGGATCCAGTCTGCTCTCACCCTCAAGATCAACCTGAAGAATGAGGGACGGAAAGTTGGGATTCCACGAGTGGCTCTGTCAGCCAGCATCACCCTCTGCGTGGTGCTCTGTATCCTTTTGTGCTGCTCCCTGGGAAGGCAGGTGTCAGATGTGACCATGAGAGGCCTGGAGCATCTCCCTTGTGAGGAGAGGCTGAGGGACTTGGGTCTTTTGAGTCTGGAGAAGAGAAGGCTGAGGGGGGATCTGATCAATGCTTAGAAATACTTCAAGGGAGGGTGTCAAGGGGATGGGGCTGGTCTTTTTTCAATGGTGCCCAGGGACAGGACAAGAGGAAATGGGCACAAACTTGACTGTAAGCAGTTCCACCTAAAGATGAGGAGGAACTTCTTTGGGGTGAGGGTGGCAGAGCCCTGGCAGAGGCTGCCCAGGGAGGTGGTGGAGTCTCCTTCTCTGGAGACATTCAAACCCACCTGGACACGTTCCTGTGGGACCTGCTCTGGGTGGCCCTGCTTTGGCAGGGGGTTGGACTGGATGCTCTCCAGAGGTCCCTTCCAACCCCATGTCATCCTGTGATTGTGTGTCTGACACTCTCTGCAGCAGGGAACATTGGCTCTTCTCACATCTGTCCTAGGATCTCAAAGCATTTAGGAATGCTACTCAGCCTTTCTTCATGGCATGGTCCTATGATGGCTCATTTTGCTACTTGCTACGTTTTACCAGGACGCACTGCTTCACAGATGGGCTCATTTCCTCCAGAAACGTTTCTAAAACTTCTTAGTGATATCCAAAGTGGTTAAAATATTGAATAGTATCTGTGTGATTTAATGGCATCCCTGCTTACCTACAAGGTAGCATTTAAGATTATACAAAATATTGAGATAAAAATTCTCAGAACAAAGGAACAAGGGAAGAAATCAGGTTTCTGAAGATGAGAAGATCTTGGCTTGTTTGTCAAAAGGTTCCAGGGTGCTACATCCAGCTCTGCCTTTTAAGACAGTTATCACAGTCAAGAGCTGCTGGGTCACGTGGACTTCAGGTAAGACTTTGCAAGTGGGATTTGGGCTGTGAGGTCTGTGGTCACTCAGGGAGACAGGCTGAGGCAGACATTCCATCCCACCCACACACACACACACACTGGCTTTGCAAAGACTTGGGGTTAGCTCCCCATCCCACCCAGCTTGTGCATAACCCTTGTACTCCAGGGAAAGTAGAAGATCACAGAATCTTCATGGTTGGAAGGGACCTTTGAGATCATCGAGTCCAACCACAAATAAAAAAAAAAACAAAACCAAAAAACCAAACCAAACAACCCACCCCACAAACAGACACAAACCAACAATCTCAGGCAGCCCTGAAGTGCCACGTCTACACGTTTCTTAAATACCCATGAGATAAAAATTCTCAGGAGAACAAAGGAACAAGGGAAGAAATCAGGTTTCTGAAGATGAGATCTTGGTGACTCCACCTGGGTAGGCCCTTCCAGTGCCTGACCACCCTCTCAGGAAAGTCATTCTTCCTCAGATCTCATCTAAGATTCTAAGATCTCCCCTGCCCCAACTTCAGACCATTTCCTCTGCTCCTCTCATGATTCCCTTGGGAGAAGAGGCCAACCCCCACCTCTCTACACCCTCCTCTCAGGGAGCTGTAGAGGACAATGAGGTCTCCCCTCAGCCTCCTCTTCTCCAAACTCAACATGCCCACTTCCCTCAGCCTCTCCTCGTAGGACTTGTTCTCCAGACCCCTCCCCAGCTTGGTGGCTCTCCTCTGGACACGCTCCAGCAGATCCTTCAGCCAGACAGAGTATGCTGTTTGCTGAAATGAAGCTTTGGTTGTTTACACAAAGCTCAAGACGAAAGGTCTCCGATGACCTGCTTTGCGCAGTTAAAGCCCGGGAGAGGCTGCTTGTTTGCTTGTTCTATCTGTGTAAGGTGTGTGGTTCTTGTAGTGCAGAGGAAATTCTGAGAGACAGGAGAGCCAGTAGGCTTGGAGGAGATGTGCGTTGGGCTAGGGCAGGCCCCCAGCTCAGGAAGTTGTCCTCTGCTTTAGGGAAGCTGAGAATTGCTTTTATAGAATCACAGAATGGTTAGAGTTGGAAGGGACCTCAAAGATCATCAGGAGATGATCCTGAGGGAGCTGGGGTTATTCAGCCTGGAGAAGAGGAGGCTGAGGGGAGACCTTCTTGCTCTCTCCAACTCCCTGAAAGGAGGGTGTAGAGAGATGGGGGTCGGTCTCTTTTCTCAAGTCACAGGCAACAGGACAAGAGGAGATGGCTTCAAGTTGCCCCAGGGGAGGTTCAGGCTGGATATTAGGAAAATTTTTTTCACGGAAAGGGTTCTCAGGCATTGGAATGGGCTGCCCAGGGAGGGGGTTGAGGCACCATCCCTGGAGGTGTTCAAAAGCCGGGTTGATGTAGTGCTGGGAGGTCTGGTTTAGTGATGATGCTCCTTGTTTGTTGTGTGGGTGTCTATTTTTGTCAGTCAGGTTGACGGTTGGACAAGATGATCTTTAAGGTCCCTTCCAACCTAGAAGATTCTGTGATTCTGTGATTCTGAGAATCCTGGCAGATAGGGGTCTGCAGCCAGATCCCCAGCTCGCTGGCTCTGTCACTGGCTAATTGGGTGGTCAAGCCAGTCAGTGACTTCTCTGCACCTAAGTCTTGCCCACTGTACATGTGTATCAGCCTGAATTGTGCTCAGGAGGATGAGGACAGGAGAGCTGCTGTGCTCCATGGGCATAGTTGGACACCCGCATCCCTTCCATCCCTGGCTCCACATTTGCACTCTCCTGATGATGGCTGACTGCCATCCAGCTGACTTTATGTCAAGATTTTATTGTCTCCCCTGGTGGCTTTCTCTCCTCGTGGTCGGTGTCTCTGCTCCCGCGGGTTCTCCTTGACTTTCCTCTTCCAGATTTCATCCTCATGGCGCAGGGCATCCACATCCACGCTTCCAGGATCCAGTGGGGTCTGGTGATGTGCTTCCTGTGCTACTTCGGCACCTTTGCCGTGGAGTTCAGGCACTACAGATTTGAGATTGTTTGCTCCGAGTACCAGGAAAACTTTCTGAGCTTTTCCGAAAGCTTATCGGAAGCCTCCGAGTACCAGACAGATCAGGTGTAGCCTGTCCTCTGGCAGGGGGGAGGGGGGCAGGTGTGGGCTCATGGGTTAAACATGACCTCATTTACACTTTTTTGATGAGTTTGTATTCATGTGCAATCACGATTGTATTGCCAAAGGGCTCTGAGGGTGGCTGTCTCATCAAGAGCCAAACACAAACAGATGTCTGCTGGAAAGAGGAGTGGATTCTTCTCGGCAGCAGCAGGAGAGAGCACAAGGTGTCTGTGCTACCAGTGACTCTGGCTCTGTCACACTCCTGTAGTTCACAACATCCAACAGCCGGTCCTCGTGATGCCCCTCCGCGACGGGCGCTCCTCAGCCCCTTCCTCAGAGGATGACATGAAGGAAACTTGATTTCTCCAGGCACCAAGAGTCTTCAGGAGTTGCTGGTTCCCCGAGTCACCGGGCTACATCTTCCACCTGTTTCTTGCATTGTTTTCTTTGCTGCCAACCAGTTGTAACTCGGTTGGGTGAGAGAGAGCGGCTGCTTCTCCTGGAGCTGGAATTGTGCGCAGCAGAAGACCTCAACCCACTTGGTTTTTGTGGCGAGGCTGGAAAGTGGCCATGGCGAAGGCCAGGTTTGGGAGAAACCACGCTGTGCTCAGGAAAGGAACCTTGGCCTGATGCTGCTTTGTAGCTGGGCAGATCGTCCCCAGAGCCAGGAGAGGTGGCGCAGGGGGGAGTACTTCAGACTCGGCGGTGGAGGCTGCTGGATTAGGACAGCAATGCCTGCGTGCTCTGAAGATGACCCAGAAAAGGCTGCTCTTTGTGTGTCCTGCTTCCACCACGTAGCGTGTGTAATATGTCAAAAGCTTTTTTTTCTTTTTTTTTTTGATTCAGCGAGGGGGGGAAACATTGTGTCAGAGACACTGGGCTCACCGTGATGAGAACTGAACCCTTCCAGGTGATTCTGGGCGTAGGGTTTGGTTTTGCTCCTCATACACTTAAGAGAAGTCAAACTTCAGATGGGCTGATGCTACACCAGCCCTGGGCTCCCTGGCCACCCCTCCACGTGGCCAGTTGTCCTGAGTGAAGTTTGCCACGGGTTTAAGGGGGCTCCCAAGGTGCAGGGACGTGGTTCTGCCCTGGAGGTTGGTTGATGTGGCCCGAGGGCTGGAGGTGCAGGAAGGGAAGAGCAAAACCAGAAGGGGCTTCATCCTCCCTCAAGGGGTGTATTCAAACAAAAGGTCTGTTTTCAAAGAAAAAGCAGGGGCTCAAAGCTCCTGTTTGAAAACCTGCCTTGGGGAAGGCTGCTGTGTTGGCTGGGCAAGGGTTGCTTCTCATGAACATGGCTCCTGTTTTCCTTCACCGGTCAGGCTCAGCTTAGGCTTGTGTCTTGTCTGAGCTGCAGGAAAATAAGCAGAAATTAAAATGGTGGCAAGACATTGGAAGGGGAATTCCTACTGCAGCGTGGCGTTTAGGAGAGAGGGAAGAGGAGAGGCAGGAGAACGTTCAGTCTTCTGCAAAGGTCTTCTCCTGAGAGGAGAAACAGCTGGGAAAACTTCCGTCCAAACTAGTCTAAGTAGAAAGCTTTAAAGCCAGCCCTTTATCTTCTTGTGAGCCAAAATTCCTTCTCAGGCAGCTGTGTTATAATTCCAGAGCATCTCCAGGCAAAAGAGGGTTGTTGTTGTTGGGCTGCTGAAGGGCCTCTTCCTTGTAGCTGTGCTGGAAGCTTCTCTGGAGGGACGTGGTCCAAGGACACGGTGGCGTTAAGGCACGGGGGTCCCCGACACCCCCCGAAGCTCCTCCTGGGTGGGGGACAGGAGGGGACAGCCTGGAGAAGATGCAGGTGGAGATCCTCTTACACGGAGCACAAAACAGCGATTCGTTTCAAGGGTATTTTACTGTAAATAGTCCACCGTGACTTCTTTTTTTTTTTAAAGTCAACTGATACTTTCAGTTTATTATTTTATATTTTGCAATTTTAGGAAAAAAAAAAAAAGACGATGTTTGTGATTTTTATTTTTTTTTCTTTCCTTTTTCTATATGCAATCCAAACTGAAATTCAGGTGTTTGGTGATAACTCTGTACATTTCTAGAGTATTTCTAACAGCACATTTCAGTACAACTAAATGACAACTGATATACACTGAAAAATGATGACTGAATAAAGTGCTTTTATGGAGAAAGTGAGTTTTATTTTTGTCTCCTACCCCATGCTGAGCTTTCTGATGACAAAGGCAAAACAAAAGGTGAGTACTTAGAGTGCCGTGATTAAAATTAACACTTAAGGAAGCCAGGGACTATTCAACCATGCAGATACACTTACTGTAACACTGCTAATTAGCAGGCTTTTTCTAGGAGGATCGCAGTCATTACACAGCCCAGAAAAGCATCCAGAGTAGCTACCTCCCAGCCTTACCTGCTACCATGGGTTTTAGGAGGACAATGCTGGCATGGTGGGATTTCCTCCCAAAATGCCCATCTCTTGCTTGGTCTCTACAGCTTGTCCCTCTCGAGGGGGACAGCTGTAGATCAGAGCTCAGGAAGGCAAGACGTGCATTAGTGGTCTGATTTGGACATCCGTGAGGGCACGCTCGAGTAGGGCCATGCAGAAATGACTAAAAGCAGCAGGTGACACCCATGCACAAAGTGCCAGCACCAGGGAACTGGGGTTTCAGGCTGCCTCTGAGTGTAACTCAGCTCCTGCAACAGGTGACACAGCTTCCTCAGCAGGACAGGGCTGTCTGCCTTAAAGAAAGGACCAGGGAGGGTGAAAGCGGGAAAACAACGTGTTCGTAAGCTTAAAAAAACCAAAAAGGTGCTGGGATCACTGGTGATGGGACAGGAAAGCTAACTGTTGGGATGGGGTGAACGTCATGAAAACAACAACATTGTGGTTTTATTTCCTACATTAGGAAAAGCTCCATGACCACCTGATAGAAATTGGCACAATTTAGGCAGGGTTGAGTGAAAAAGGTCAGGGGTTTAATTCTTATTCAGTGCAGCACGATGTGTCCCTCAGGAGCAGTTGGTTTGTCAAGGTTTGCTCACAGCCCACCACTGCTATCAACGTGAGACAGGGTGATGTTGGAGCTCCGTGGGTTAGTGCTAAGGTAGATACTTCAGAAACGTGGTCAAGTTGACTGGATCCCATAGCCCAGCACTACGATGCAGCCGTGAGGTGGGTCTATAATTTAATTTTTAAAGCTATATTTATATATACACTTTTACTTCATTCTGGTAGGCTGGCTGTGGAGCTCTAAGCAGCTGCCACGTTGCAAGTTGTACTGTTTTGTGCTTAGACCTGCAAAGATTTAAGTTATTCCTGGTCTAAAGAGCTGTTTTTTCCTGTGGCAGCCCCCAAACCTACCGTAGTATAGCCCATGTGTGGCATTTTCCACTGGGCATCCTACCCCCCCCCCCCCCGC